TTAAGAAAGATGGTCTGATTCTGTCCTAGTTTATTATATTTTTAAAAATCTGCCAGAGGGCACCTGGCTCACAAGAGAGAGAGAAAAGACTGATAGAGGGAGAGAGGGAAACAACACCTCCCCCACCCCATGGGGAATGGTCACAACACACTCTCTTTTCTTCCATTTTTCCATTCTGTCTGGATTTTAGGTACACATGCCCACTGGACTTGTATTTTAAGCTGCTAGTCCAGAATTCGAACTGCACAGTTGGGCATGTAGGACCCAGCTCTCTAAACTACTGGACCACAGGGCCACTCCTGATCTAGTTTATTTTTGTGTAGTGTTGATCTAGATTAGAATTTGTTTTCTTATTAATCAGAACCAGTGTCTAGATTTCAGAGTTGTCTGACAGAGAAAATGTGGAGAAGTGGAGGAGTGCTCCCAACTTTGATCTCAGAAGAAGCAGGAAACACCTGTGTCTTTATTTAAGAAGGTCCTGCAAAAAGCTGGCTCAACCTAGAGGGATTTAGCAGTTACTTCCACACACTCAGTGCTGGAATTTTCCCTCTCTTCATCCATGCCTAGTGAGGATCATGCCACACTTCCTCACAGACGACACACCTGCCTGCGGCTGGGTGGTGTATTGGTGTGATGGAGAGTGACGAGGTGTTACATTTGCCTCCGGCCCCTTTATTTTTACGAACGCAAACTCAAGGTGGAGTGGCTTAACCATATTTACACAGAAAACTGATGGCAAATTCAGGAGCGGAATCCACGTTTTTCTTTTCGAAGGCATTTTTTCAAACAGCTCCCACCAAGACTAAAAATCTAATTTTTTTTTCAAATTACTTATTATGTGTTTCCAATTTGTGTCCAAAACGCTAACATGCAATGAGACTCATGGTACATTACCATAACACTTATAGTGATATATTTGGTTTTCAGTTTAGTTCCTAATCCCCAGTAAAAAGTAGAGTCCCGAGAGGCTTGGGTCCACGGGGATGCTCAATTTCTCAGAGATTGGGCATGAAAATCAGGGAAATGGCAGGACAACCTTTCTAAGTCTGTGTTTTGAAGAGCACTCATGATCTGTAAGATTCTAATTATAGGGAAGAAAAGAGACGCTCTTGGTCAAATCAATCAAGAAATACTAAAACAGTTTTTGAAAGTTATTTAATTTTGTTTATTATTTTAAAAGACGGCTACAGAGCACCTGTGCTCACCAGAGCAAGACAGAGAGACACACACACACGGAGAAAGTGAGAAAGCAAGCCATCGGGTCAGAGACTCAAACTGCAGGCAGCCATGTGGGAGCACATTGCCTTAACCACCACACCACCTGCTGGCCTCTAACATAAACATGTTTACATGGATTTTTGTGTCCAGCTTAGTGGTATATGTGGTAGCAAATTGGACTACAGTGCTGGAATCCACATATTTAGCTGTGGATTTGTTTCTCCAGTCAGCCTGAGAACACGCTGGACACATGCACATGTCCCCACGTGCCCATGTGCCCCAAATCCTGAGTTGGAGGCTTTCAGGAAGGGGATCATGGTGGGACAAGACCCTGATGAGGATGCTACTCCCTCTCTCATGTACGTGCTCTCTAACATGAGTGACATAAACATTTTTGGGACCAGCAGATGGAATAATAGTTAAGTCGCTGGACTCCCACATAGTCAACTGCAGTCCAAGTCCCGGACCCAGTGGCTTAAAACTCACACTGTGAGTGTGTGCATGCCCACAATCCCAAGAGGAGAATGAGGGAGAAGGGGTTGTAATGTGGCCATCCCCACTGTGGGGTGGTTTCTCACTTTTTGCCTCTCTGTCTCTATCTCTCCGGCAAGCACAAGCACCCTAGGGCTAAAATCTCTATAAATAAATAAATGAAAATAAAATAAACTTTTTAAAGCCCTAAAAACAAATAAATGGATTTTTAAACTTTTGATCTGCAAAAGAACCCATGAAGAGGATGAAAAGACAAGCTACAGATGGAGAAAATATTTGTAAACCATATATCTTATAACACTCTCGTGTACAATAAAGAACTCAAAATTTGACAGGAAAACAAGTACAATTGAGAAATGCGTGAGAGGCATAAAAAGACATTTCATCAAGATGAAGTGGGGCCAGGTGTTGGCACAGCAGTACTGCAATGCTGTCCACATGGGAAAGGTCCTGAGCTCATGTCCCAGGACCACCCATGGCACAAAGATACACACTTGTGCCCGCTATCTGGGCTGGCTGAGGCTGAGAATGAGTCATGGTGTGAAGACCCTGTTAGGAGTGTCTCTCTCTCTCTTTCGTGGAAGAAAAAATTATAGAGAAATCAAAAGTAAAGAAAAGAATCTGAAGAGCATGGAAACAAAAACACAGATGATGAAAAGACACAGGAAAAGATTTGTTGGACATCATTAATCATTAAGAAAATGAAAACTATCCCTGCAATGAGATGCCACTATGCACCCACTTGAATGACTAAAATCAAAGAGACATGCAATATCAAGTGCTGGCAAGGATGTAGAGAAACTACAGCTATTGAACACTGCTGATGGGAATTTTAAAAATTACAGCTATTTTGGAAAATAATTTGGTATATTTTAGAAAGCTAAAAACTATACAACCCAGCAATCATGCTCTTGGCATTTATCCTAAAGCATATGTCCTCACAAAAATATGTATGTGAATGTTCATGGAAGCTTTATATTTAGTGGCTAAATATTGGAAATAATTTTAATATCTTTTTAAAAATTATTTATTTAAGTTTTTTTTGTTTATTGTTGTTCTTCAGTTTGACCAGAAAGAGACAGGGAGAGAGGAGGAGAGTGAGAAAGCAAGCCACCGGGTCTAGGACTCAAACCATGGTTGACCATGTGGGAGTCTAGCACCTTAACCACCATGTGACCTGCTGGTCCCTCAAATACCTTCCAATGGGTGAATGTTTAAATAAATGGTGGTATTTACATAGCATGGAAATGAATGGGCAACTGATACATGCAACAGCCTGAATGAATCTCAAGGGACTTAAGCTGAATGCAAAAAGAAGTCACCATCTAAAGGTCGCATACAATATGATTTCATTTATATGACATTCTCAAAATTACAGAGCTGGAGATCCTGAGCCAAGGCTAATGAGAGAGATGGATGTGACTCTAAGGGGGTAGTGGGATATTCCACTTGCAGTTATACAAGGGCATGTCCAAAAGCTCATGAGAGGGGCCAGCAGGTGGTGTAGTGGTTAAGGACTGGACTTCATGTAACTGACGATGATTTAAGTCCCAGACCCAGTGGCTTGAAAATCACACCAGACGTGAGTGTGTGTAAGCCCAGAATCCCAAGAGGACAATGGAGGAGAAGGAATTGCAGCATGGTCATTCCTCTGAGGGGTGATTTCTCATTTGTCCTCTCTCTGTCCCTTTCCAGTGACCACACATGCCCTGTGGCAAAAACCTAAAAAGAAAAGAAAGAAATTCATGAGAAAATGGAATTGAATTATGAATTTACTTTGTTGCAAAAAAATTTTAAATTCATGCATAATTTTTTCATAATATTCATTTTCATGACCTTTATGAAGACCCCCTTGTAAATCCGGGAGTAATCAGCATACAAATGGCACTTAAAGCCGTGAGACTGGATAAAGTCACTTTGGAATAAGTGAAAACAGAAAAGAAGAGAAATCCAAGGGCCAATTCTCGGCTCCTGATATATTTAAGGATCCACAAGAAAAGGAGGCAGCTGCAAAAGAAACTAAGTGGTGGCCAGAGTGTGTCAGAGTGGCCAAATTGGGGGGAATTTTCTCTTGTTTATATTTTCTTCGTTGTGATTTTATTACTTCAAAAATTAAAAAAAAATGTTCAAATACATTTTATTGGATGTGTTTTTGTTTTGTTTTGTTTTTGAGAGGTTTTTGCTATAGGGCATGTGTGCCCTTGCCAGAAAGACAGAGAGAGACAGAGAGATAGACAGTGAGAAGTCACCCCACAGGGGGGATGGCCATGCTGCAATCCCTTCTCCTCCATTCTCCTTTCAGGATCTTGGGCATGAATGCACACGCGCCTGGCATGAGTTTAAGCCACCAGGTCCGGGACTCGAACTGTGGTTGACTACATGGGAGTCCAGTGACATAGCCATTATGCCAACTGCTGGTCCCAGATGTGTTCTTAAACTCTTGGAAGACAGAGCAAGTTTTCAATTGCTTGTTCTGGGATTCTTTAGTGGGAAATTAATATTGAAGTAATTAGAAAGAGCTTATTAATTCAAGGACTACATTAGCTAAGAGACATGAGAGTTAATTGAGTTCTTGCAGTTTTTTTTTTTTTTTTTTCAGAGATTTTTGCTGTGGGGTTCATGAGTACACTAAAAGAGACAGAGAGACAGAAAGTGAGAAATCACCCCCACAGCAGGGATGGGCATGCTGCAATCCCTTCACCTCCATTTTCCTCTCAGGATTTTGGGTGCATGCACACATGTGCCTGGTGTGAATTTAAGCCACTGGGTCTTAGACTTGAACTGTGGTTGACTACGTGGGAGTCCAGCAATGTGACCACTATGCCATCTGCTAGTCCCTCTTGTAGTATATTTCTATATTCTTTTATATAAAGGTAACACAAGTAAAAAATCTAAAATGAATTACCAGATAACTTTCAGGGCTGTATTTTTCCTCCTCTAAATTCTAAGCTTCTTAAGGTCAGGGGTAGTATTTATCATTTTCTTTGCATAATGCCTTCCCCTTATTGAGGTTCCTAAGTATTTGAAACATTTAGGTCTGCTAAAAAAAAAAACAAATGCCCTTGCTAGTAACTAAGCCCTGGGCAGAACTTGTCTATACTTTTTTCATATCAAGATTTTTTTCCCTTTTATAGATAATTTTACAGATCATAAATTCAAATGCTCAGAGAACCTTCATAGTTATTTATTCTTATCCTCTCTACCAACCGTATCACGCTGAATTACTGACTCAACAGACCTTAGCCGAAACTGGCATTTTCCTAACACTAATAATATTTTCTATTTTTTAGATCCTGTCTGCCAAGAGCCTAAAAAAGTAGTGAAATAAATGGCTTTCCATTTCAAAGGCCAAATCTTGAAAGTTCACCACTGCATCATCCACAGTAAGGCTTTCTCCTTTCCCACCATACCTGACTCCAGCAGCTTTTCTTTAGCAGAGGCTGGGGGAACCTGGATTCTATATGTAGACAAATTATTTAATCTCTATTCTCTAATCACGCAGTCATAATGCCATATAATCCCACCACCGTAACCACCTTGTAAGTTTGCTGCAAATGCTAGAGACAAGGTTGATGAATGGATTTAGGACACATTGATGATTAAAGGCTACTGCCCTAATTCTCAATACCACTTACATATTAGTTTCTGGCTTTTTTTCTTTGCACCCATTTATGATCATTGCAGTGATTGCTTCCAAAGGACTAAAGCTGCAATTTGTGTCTCTAGGCATTCTCTTTCTCATGCATCACTCTAGATGATCAGCAGGTCTCTCTGCAACACCACAGCCGAAGCCATGTTTATTGAAGGCTCAGGACTAAGTGAAGACGCCAGTGCTTGTCTTTGAGGCTTTGTGTCCTGAATCAGCCAATGTCGAAGTAAATGGATGAACTGAGTACTTCCAGCCTCAAGCCTGTATTAGCTTAAGATCTGTGGCAGTATAATACCTAGCAAAGGGAATACTATGTATGAAGCCAGGGATAACTGAGAGAAGGATTTTGAACATACACACACTCATGCTCGGCATGATTTTCAAGCCACCAGGTCCAGAACTTGAACCAAGGAATCAGTCATATATGATCCAGCCACCTTAACCTCCATGCCACCTACGGGCCTCAGATTCTTCTTAATTCTTGAATATTCTTCCACTTGTCTTATAAGAAGGAATAGAGAGTTTTATCTCTAGGCTCCTGGCAAGCAAAGGAAACTGAGGCAGGGGCAACACTGCTCCCCGCCCCACTTCCAGGCTCCCAAGACCAGGACTCCATCCCCTAGTGAGGTAAGCAGGTTTTAATTTTTATTTATTTTTCTTTCTTTGCCCTTCCTTTTTGTTTTGTTAATACCTTGCTCTCCCATGTCCCGCAGAGTGGCCTTTGCTCTGTAGGAGTCCTCTAGTTCCATCTCTAGACCCCTGGCATAATATTTATTCCCCTCTCTTTTCTTTCCTCTTACATTATCCTCTCTTCCTCATCCTCCACCATGCCAGAGGGATTAGACAGATTTAGAAACACAGTTTTGAAATTCTCTAGTATTGTAAGATTCCCTGGGATCCTCCCTTGTACTGAACCACCTGTGAATACGAAGATACTGCTCTTCAGACACCTGAATAGAGTACACCTCTTGAGACCACATTGCTAAAAACAACAGAAGAGAGACTTCCACACACATCAATTCCCAGCAAAAGGGAAACACACTTGCTTCTAGTCAAAGAAACATTCTCCTAAGAGATATTCAAAAGTTAATACATTTTCCAATGGCTAGAAGTAGAAGAGCCTCAGGTCTGAATAAACCAGGAAATATGTGCCCATCAAAGGAACAGAGTAACTCCCCTCCATCTGTCCTAAAATCTGAGGACATTACCAAAATGTCAGAGAAAGAATTTAGAACATTCATGGTGAACAAATTCTTTAAGTTGGAACAGAAAAGAGACAATGAACTACAGGAGATTAGGAAATCCTTCCATGATATGAAAGAAGAAATAGACACTCTGAAAAAGAATCAGATGGAGCTATTAGAGATGAAGTTTGTAATTCAGGAAATCAAAAACTCTCTTGAAAGTATTAATTAGACCATGCTGAAGATCAAATCTCTGATGTAGAAGATAAAACTTCTGACCTAGAGAAAACCACCAAAGAAAAAATAACAAAAACAATGAAGATAATATATGAGAAATACTAGATTCCATAAGATGCTCAAACATCAGAATAACTGATATCCCAGAAAGTGAAGAAACTAATAACAGCATGGAAAATCTATTCCAAGAAATCCTGGAAGAAAATTTCCCAAGTCTAGAGAGGCACTCAAGAATCCAGACCCAAGAAATACAAAGGACCCCAAATAGACTCACCCCAGAAGATCTTCCCCAAGGCACATACTAGTCAGACTATCCAAGACCACAGATAAAGACATGATACTAAAACTGGCAAGAGAGAAAGGAGAAGTGACGTACAAAGGTCATCCCATCAGGCTAACACCAGACCTCTCAACGGAAACAATGCAAGCAAGGAAAGAATGGGAAGATATATTGAAAGTGTTAAGAGAGAAACAGTTTCAACGAAGATTATTATATCCTGCAAGATTATCCTTTACATGGGAAAAAAAGATTAAAATCTTCCCAGACAAACAAACCTGAAAGAATTTGCCAACACCATGCCAGCTCTTCAAGAAACCCTAAAGAAAGTTCTGTTCCAGGAGAACTAAAGAATTAACAGACAGAAACAAAGAAATAAAAGGCAGCTAAGACAATGGCCAACTTAAATGTCGGGATAGATCCAGTAAGATCAATAATAACATTGAATGTGAATGGATTAAATTCTCCAATCAAGAGACACAGACTGGCTGAGTGGATAAAAAAACAGAAACCCTCTATCTGTTGCTTACAGGAAACCCACCTCATGGATAAAGACATACATAGACTGAAAACGAAGGGTTGGAAAAAGGTTTTCCATGCAAATGGGAACCAAAAAAGAGCTGGAGTTGCAATACTAATTTCTGACAAAATAGGCTTTAAAACAAAAACTGTTTGAAGAGACAAAGAATGGCACTATATTGTAGTAAAAGTATAAATAGATCAAGAAGATATAACACTTATAAATATCTATGCGCCTAACACAGGAGCACCCAAATATGTGAAGAAAAGACTTAGATCTAAAAGGGGAGATAGACTGCAACACACTAATTTTTGGAGACCTCAACACTGCACTATCCCCTCTGGACAGATCATCTAGACAAAAAATAGATAAAGAGATAAAGGATCTAAATGAAATGGACTTAACAGACATCTATAGAACTTTCTATCCCAAAACCACGAGATACACTTTTTTCTCACTCTCACATGGAACCTTTTCGAAGATTGAGCACATCACGGGGCACAAAGCAAGCCTCTACAGATTCAAAGGCATAGAAACTATATCCAGCATCTCTGGCCATGAAGAAATTAAACTCAAAAATACTCAAATACATGAAAGCTAAATAACCTACTCCTGAATGACTCCCCTACTACTAAAGAAATTAAGACTGAAATCAAAAGATTCATGGAAGCCAATGACAATGAGGACATGAGTTTCCATAATCTTTGGGACACTGCTAAAGCAGTCATAAGAGGGAAGTTTATAGCAATTAGTGTACATAAGGGGAAGACGGAAAGAAGGTAAATGTATCACCTAACATCATGCCCTAGGGAATTGGAAAAGAACAGCAAAAAAATTTTTTAAAAAAGCACTCTAGGAGAAAGGAAATAATAAAGATACGAGCAGAAATAAATGAAATAGAAAATAAACGAACTATACAGAGAATAAATGAAAGTAAAAGCTGGCTCTTTGAAAAGATCAACAAAATTGATACACCACTAGCGAGACTTCCTAAGAAGAGAGAAAGGTACCACGTGAATCAAATCTTCAATGAAGCAGGCAATATAACAACAGACAAAGCAGAAATACAAAACATCATTAGAGGATACTATGAACAACTATATGCCAAGAAATAAGACAATCTGGATGAGATGGACAAATTCCTGGACACATACAATCTACCAGGATTGAGCCAGGAGAAAGTCTGAATAGGCCCATAAAAAGCCAGGAGATTGAATCAGTAATAAATAACCTTCCAACAAAGAAAAGCCCTGGCCCTGATGGGTTTACCTCTTAATTCTATAAAACTTTCAAAGAAGAGTTAATCCCAATTCTGCTCAAGTTATTTCTAAAGATCCAAAAGGGTGAATCTCTCCTTAATTCATTTTATGAAGCCTCTATCACTCTTATCCTTAAAACAGATAAGGACAGGACCAAGAAGGAAAACTATAGACCAATATCTCTGATGAATATAGATGCAAAGATTCTCAACAAGATACTAGCAAATCGTATTCAACAACTTATAAAAAAGATTATACATCGTGATCAGGCAGGCTTTATTCCAGGAATGCAAGGTTGGTTCAACATATGCAAAACCATAAATGTAATACACCATATAAACAGGAAGAAAGATAAAAACGATATGGTCATATCAATTGATGCAGAAAAAGCATTTGATAAGATACAACATCCCTTCACGGTCAAGATTTTCAGCAAAATTGGCATAGAAGGGTCATTTCTCAACATAAAAAAGCTATCTATTAAAAACCCATAGCAAATATCATCCTGAATGAAGAAAAGCTGAAAGCTTTCCCACTAAAAACAGGTACAAGACAAGGATGCCCACTTTCTCCACTCCTTTTCAATGTAGTACTGGAAATCCTTGCCAATGCACTCAGAAAAGAGGAAAAAATAAAAGGCATTCAAATAGGAAAAGAAGAGGTGAAACTCTATTCGCAGATGACATGATTGTATATATAGAAGATCCAATGGTTTCCATGAAAAAAATTCTGGAAATAATATAGGAATATAGTAAAGTTACAGGATACAAAATCGATATACAGAAATCTATAGCATTTCTATATATGAACAACAGGAAGACTGAGATAGAACTGAAAAAAGTTTTTCTATTTACGATAGCCACAAAAAGTATAAGATACTTAGGAATAAATCTAACCAAAGAAGTTCAAGATCTTCACAAGGAAAACTATGAGAAGTTAAAAAAAGAAATTGAGAATGACACAAAAAAGTGGAAGGACATCCCATGTTCCTGGATTGGAAGAATTAATATAATCAAAATGGCAATTCTACCCAAATTAATCTACATATTTAATGCAGTGCCAATCAAAGTACCAGACACATTCTTCACAG